AAATAGTGAAGTATGTAGGAACTAGCTCGCTTAGCGTGAACAAAAAAGTCACACTTACCCGTATTATATCGCTTCTTTTATTACTCCTATTTTGCTTGTCTTCGTGGTCCTTTATAGTCTTATAAGCTGTCAATTCACGGAGGAAATAAGAGCGACAGAGAAGTATCATTATGTTGTGATCTACCAGCTTGAATGTCTCAAAACAACAGACCGCTTTAGTAGTGACATACGCCAAATAATAGGCAGCCCGACAGTGCACATTGACATGAAGAATTTCCCAATATTTTTACTAGATCGATTTTCGACCTTATGTACTTTAGGCATATTCACGACGTTAAAAGTAGCATGGAAAACTTTATTCTACTAATTTCGCTGGTAACACGAGACATAACCGAGCAGGAAATAGGCTTCAAGACTTCTCGTTCGTGCCTCGAAATGTTTTCGGTTTTATCCTTGTCCCCAGGTACCTACTTTTATTACCCTATCCTAATTAACAATTATCCGGGTCATTACTTACTCGGTTTGTGCTTATGTACCCTAATAAACAACAACTAATTTATGTTTACAGCCTACTTATTCTAATCTCATTTGCTAAATACATTTATTTGGGATAATCTCGGATAATTCAAAGTACAATTTATATGGCTCGTAAATTCCCAGAGAGCAAAATAGGTATATTTATTGGGGCAGGTACTAAATGTAATTGTAGCGTACCGCTACAACCTTTTCAATGTTGCCGTCCGCTTTAAAAAAATACGACCACTGTAAAAGTTTTGACCGCTAAAAGGGGGATGTAACTGGAGAAAACTATCACCCAGTATATCGATTTGACTAAAGCTTTAAGAAATAATACGCAATAATGGTCCAAATAAATGTACTAAATTTTAACGCGATCGGTAAGAGGGTTATGAAGTTATTAATTAAATTAGTTTTATTTTTGACAACTTTGAAGGCTTGTAACTCAAATTTTTTATTTAACTTTTTTTCGTAGATCGTCTCTATAGTCGTGAATGTGCAGTCAAACGTTGTCGGTGAAATTCGCGGACACCTTGTATACATATACACTTAAATGCATCGTATTTTTTGTATATAAAAACATTAAATACCATTTACAAGTGTATAAAAATTCTACATACAGGGTCGGAAAGTCCCCATGGTTCATCGGCCGTTAGGTGAGAGCGATAAAGTAAGTCATAGAAATCCGTGCGATAGACAAAGGATGGCTATAATGAAGGCGTCTCATAGTTACCGCCCGTTTTGCCCTTCCACAAATAAGATCCTCTTCCACTTGTAATTCAGCGACCGGTGGTCATCTTTGTTTTCGTCGTTTGGCTTTTCTTTAATAGATGTCACTACTTATACAATTTCGACTTCGGTATTCCGATATGTTAATACCATCCGTTAACAGGGGGCAGCACAACGCGTAACAAAGAAAACTTTTTACAGTAGCTAGTAGATAGCTACTGTAAAAAATAGATAAATAAAGCAAAATTCCTTATTTCCCCAATTCCAAAAAAAATCTGTAGATCTGACATCACTCTTTCTAGGGCTGCACCTTAACATATCGGAATACGAAGTCGGAATTGTATAAGTAGTGACATCTATTACCGGTCGCTGAATTACAAGTGGAACGGCCGATGAATCATGGGGACTTTCCGACCCTGTATATGAATTTCGATAACTTTTATTCGTGTAGCATTAATAACACTGAGCAGTTTCTCTACAACCAAATCTTTTGTTGATTTATTTCCAATAACACCGCAAATGAACTGGAAAGCTATGTCACAGGTTTGTTTGTGGTGAAATAATATGGCAGATTTACTAGCGCCGCAGGCCGGTAAATCGAAGACGTCCGACTTGATGACACCCGCGATAATAAACTGCGACCTGGTTTTGAAAATGCACTCCGTCCGATGTGCGAAAGATGTACCCGCTGCACCATGGTCGACGAGTCTGCGAACTTTGCCACGTTCAGTCTCGATCCTGGTTGGCCCCGGTTACACGAGAGCCCTGGAACGCCGTAATCTCCCAAGTAGGAAGTCGGGAACGTTAGATACTCTCTGGAAGTTGTGTTTAATACTACTCGGGAGTATTCCGGCTTATCTTGCGCGGTATGTTGTAGCTGGCGTGATATAATGGGCGTAATAAAGTCGGTGTGTTTAGTGCAACGAATATTTTAACGTCTGCGGGAAGTCGTAATGTTCAGGTACGGGTGAGGAAAGGGGTGGGTACGTATTTAACGTGTCCGCTTGTTTAAATTAACCAAAAGGTTAATTGTTACTGAGAAGTTATAAAAAAGCCTTTATTAAAATGATATTGCCATGAAAATTCGTGGATATGTAGTAACAAAATAAAAGAAACTATTTTTGAACATTTGATATGTATGATTTAATAAAATTGTGAAACAATATGACTATAATTTGTAGATTTTGTGACATTTTCGAACCTTCAAAGCATACTTAATATCTTAAATGTTATTGCTATCTCACTTGCACAAAGTTATATTGACAGAAAGTGACCTACTAATCTGTAGGTATTATGAAATCGTGACTTGTTTCGCACTAAGCGAAATATACATTCTAACTATTGATACTGATGTTCAAAATATGTCGGTAGATTATGTACATCCAAAATAATATAAGTAGGTACATCAAATTAGGTTGGTATTTTTTATTAAAAAAAAATAATAAATCGAAAATAAACAATCTAATTACGGGTAAAAAAATGGAAATGGTAAGAAAAAAACATATAATCATTTACTTGAATCATTAATTAATAGTTGAGAGAGAGAAAAACGTAGGTTACCGCACAATTCACAGAGAAATAAATTATCAAAAGTTCTGATTTGTCGTTCGCCAAGTAATAAACGCGAAGGAGTAACAGCAACAGCGCAATAGAATATGAAAGTACAATAAACTTTCACTACAAGAAGTAAAAAATACAGCAGCGTATAAACAATGAAATATTTATACTTTGCATCATAGAGCATAATATAATAATTTTATGCATTTTAATAAATTATGACATTTTTCATATCATTTTAAAATTAACATTACAATAATTTCAATATATTTTTTAGAATATCTATGGCTGCAATAACATCGTGTCACAGTATAATACTACGTATATCAAATTGTATTATACTTTCATAAATGCAATCGCTTTGAACCCTTGTCTTATAAGGAACATTTGTATGTACAGAAGTGTATCATAGTAGTATGTTACTTATGCATGTGACTAAATCATACTTAAACTTTTCCACGCTAATCACTTCGTGATCACAGTTTGTAAATAATCTAAAATACGTAAAAGTTATTTTCAAAAAGAGCAATGTACATATATACTTTGTGCCATGTACTCTATGTTGATTAGTAGTTGTCCTCGAACGGTGTACCGAGGTTCTGCCTTCACAATATTCTCTTCAACAGCTTTTTCCTGCTTTTGCAATTTTCTGTTCTAATTCTCAAGCGCTCATACTTTCTTTTGGTCACAAATTTTCCTTTCTACAAACTCTGTTCTTCATCCGGCATTTTACAGGATAAAGCAATCAACAGTGCGAGAGATCACGTAACATATTGTGTACCTATACAATAAATGACAAAGATTGCCAACTTAGAAATAATAAACTCACCATACTCGTGCGCTGCTACATAGATATTATTNATTTTAAAATTAACATTGCAATAATTTCAATATATTTTTTAGAATATCTATGGCTGCAATAACATCGTGTCACAGTATAATACTACGTATATCAAATTGTATTATACTTTCATAAATGCAATCGCTTTGAACCCTTGTCTTATAAGGAACATTTGTATGTACAGAAGTGTATCATAGTAGTATGTTACTTATGCATGTGACTAAATCATACTTAAACTTTTCCACGCTAATCACTTCGTGATCACAGTTTGTAAATAATCTAAAATACGTAAAAGTTATTTTCAAAAAGAGCAATGTACATATATACTTTGTGCCATGTACTCTATGTTGATTAGTAGTTGTCCTCGAACGGTGTACCGAGGTTCTGCCTTCACAATATTCTCTTCAACAGCTTTTTCCTGCTTTTGCAATTTTCTGTTCTAATTCTCAAGCGCTCATACTTTCTTTTGGTCACAAATTTTCCTTTCTACAAACTCTGTTCTTCATCCGGCATTTTACAGGATAAAGCAATCAACAGTGCGAGAGATCACGTAACATATTGTGTACCTATACAATAAATGACAAAGATTGCCAACTTAGAAATAATAAACTCACCATACTCGTGCGCTGCTGCCAAGTTTCTGTTGCAACTTTTGGCATATATTTACGTATATTGGGTAAAAAATAATAATTGAAAGATGGAAATATAAAATAATAAGTATTTTAAACTCGAGTTTATTAAGTATCTATACTTTTATTGATCTGTGACGTAGAATCTGTCGTTAAACTTTGAAGACTATATCATCAACTTCCTGTATAGAGAAAAAATTTTCTGTCTTTTTTTTTTTTGCCGAATCCTGATACATATTATTGTCTTGAAATTTACAGTTGTCTTAAATTTGAAATAAAAAAATCGCTATACTTTAAATCAGAAGCTCCTAATAAGTCAGTTAATTTTTTTCTCTTTTCTCTACATATTAAANTTTTTTTCACCTATGAATAAAGTGAGGAGTAATTAACCAGTAGTTAAATTTACATATCAGATTTATTGCGCATGGATCTTTTCATTTAAAATAAACTTCTTGGTTACTAACTGCAAGTAGTTTAATAGTTGGTGAATGTTTTCATAAAATTAGTAGATGAAAATCCACATGACACCAAATTAAAGAAGAAGAGGAGTTAGTTTTGATCGGAATTAGCTAGTTGTTTGAGGTTAGACGGTTAGACTTGCTTTAAAAATTGAAATAAGTTACATAATTTACAACAAAAATACGCAGAGGTAAGTATATATAGTTGCGGTTTTATACCTATGTATTATATAGTACAATAATATCGGAATTCATTATAGGTTAGTAATTATGGATGAAAGTGAAAAATCTAAGCGAGACAGATCCCAAAATTTTACAAACAGTGAAACCCGATTACTAGTTGAATTGGTATTGAAAAGAGCTGAAATATTAGAAAACAAAAAAACCGATGCAGCCATGTGGCATCAAAAGAATATCGCTTGGGCTGAAATTACAAAACAATTTAATGCAGAAAGTGGCACAATTCCTAGAACTGATAAAATGTTGAAAACAAAATATGAAGGTTTGAAGAGACTTGTAAGAAAAAAACATGCTAAGAACAAATATGAACAATATTGGACAGGAGGAGGAACATTCACTTTTATTCCCTATACGGATTACGAAGAAAAATTACTTGGTATTATAGCCATAAGTGTCGAGGGATTACCATCAATACATGATGGTGATGATAGTAATGCAGGTACAAAACATTTAGATACTAACATATTAAAGTGTTTTTTTCTTGCAGTTCCATCTGCTTCGTTATCTGTAGATACAGATTCCACCGTAGAAAATGTAGGCGAGCATGAACCGCTGATATTACAAATATAACAGAAAGTCATAAAGATGCAGGTTTGTTAACAGTAAGATTATTAAACACGAATTTCTTACGACAGGTATCGAGTATGCAACTAATATTTTTTATGGCTCTTATTGAATCTTTGGGGAATAAGTAGGGCAATACAGTATTATGTTTTATCTTTTTGTAACACATTTTTCTTTTGATTTACTTTAGAAGTAGAAATTAATATGTTTGGTACAAAGCATTCCTTAAGATGGACAAATTTAAGTAGTAATCAGATACGGAAACCAATTAATCCGAAGTTATTAACAAACAAGAAAAAAGGTGGTGAGAAGGAAAAATTAAATGAAAAGTATAATTATATAGCTGATACAAGAAAAGAATTAATTTCGTTACAAACTAAAATAGCAGAAAAGGAATTGGAGTTAAAAAATAAGAAAATAGAATTTGCCACAGCTGAAAATGAAAGAAAAAGCCAAGAACATAATAAAAGAATGGAGTTATTACAGTTGCAGATCGATAATTTTTTAGATTCTAATCAATAGTTGTTTATTAACTTATTTTATAGATGTAGATATAGATAACTTCAGAATTAACAAAATAAAAAATTAAAATATATTTTATTATTTTATTTTTTTACAAAATATTTAGTGTAAATTGTTATACATATAACTTTCAGTGAATACAGGTGTAACGATTAATATTTTTACATTTTTTAATTCCAGGTTTCATAACATACCTACTGATCATAATAATTACAAATTTGAAAAATATTCTATTAAATCTCTCCTAACTCTGTCATTTTGTCTGTCATTATGGACATAATTATCATGAATATTATCCAAATCCAACTCGTCATAACCGTCAGGAAGGGGATCTTCTCTGTCTAATGCAATATTATGTAAAACTGCAGTAGCAGTAATAATTTTCTGTATAAGACGAACATTGCAACGAAAACCAATCGATAAAATTGGAAATCGACGCTTCCAGATACCAAATGTTTTTTCAACGACATTTAAATTTTCAGCGTCTGTTCTAGGGTCTACCACTGGTGTTATAATATATGACCTTAAAGGATATCCACTATCTCCTAGTAACAAACCATTGCCCATGTTACCATTCTCAAATAGCATCCTTACTCTAGAGTTATCAAAAATGTTACTGTCGTGGGCTGCACCTGGCCACCGTGCAACTACATCTTGTAAATAATTATTAGCATTCGCTACTGCTTGCACGTTAATTGAAAAATTACCTTTTCTATTCCTATAATTTTCAGCTTCTGGTCCACCTACAGTCAATTTATAGTATAAATTAATATTTCAGTAATTTTTTATTAGCAATTAGTAGTTTATCCTAATATTTTACCTAATGACTGATGAATTCTTATATGAGTACCGTCTACTGCTCCTAGCACACGAGGAAATCGTGCTATGTTATGAAATCCTGTTTTAATGGTCATTTTTTCCTGTTCACTCATTGGCATTTTTATAAATTGAGGGCCAAGAGCGCAAAGTACAGTTGAAACTTTGTAAATTATTTTTGCAGTAGTACTCCTATGCATTTTTCCAAAATCTGAAATTGTAATATAAAATGAACCCGTAGCATAAAATCGTAAAGTTACTAATAATTGTGCCATTGGTGAAATAGGATTATTTCTAAAAAACTTGTATTAAACATGGAAATATATTACCTATTTGATGCAGGTTGCAACTGTTGTTCAGTCAACTATAATAAGAATCTAACAGAATTCTTGGATAATCTGAATCTTGCAATAAATTCTTCTTCATTATATTTGTTGAAAAGGTCAGCATGCCTATATCTGTTTCCTGTGTTATATCCATGACGATTAGGAAATAATAGATCGTGTTCTTCAAGTTCTTCATTTTCCATTATTGGTGCGAAGTCTTCTATAAATTCCATTTTACTCTTCAGAGAAGATACCTTATTAATATACTTATTAAAAGAGTAATATATGAATAATGTATAACAAAAATAATGTAGAAAGTACAATATACACAAACATACTGAGCATAACGTCACATTTTAATTGAAAGATAGACTTTTAAAGGCTAGTCAAACTGTCCTATAAATTTAATCAATAGATAGAGTACTTACCGGACACAAATCTTACCTGGATGTGAATAAACAGTTAGTTGGAACATCTTGTTGTTAACTACTAATCGCCACTTTACTCATAGGTGAAAAAACGAGCCTTAGTTTAACTTCTTTATTACGCTGATTAGCTGATAAATGCAGAGCTTAATATTTTACAGATCCATATAGCCACTGTAACACTAACGACAGTTCGTATGTTTAGTATATGAGCGTTAATTTTCTGTTTTGGTAATCTCCACATTTCCTCATTAATGTAAATTTCGGGAACGGCCCCATCGGGAGTCCGCACGGTAAATATCCCTCCAGAGATGGATTTTTAATCTGCGCTGCGCTTGGGTCGACCAAACGGGAAGGACTAAATGAAATAAAAAGTTTTGTGGATATCCAACGAGGTTTTTAAGTGACGGTTTCTTAATACAGAGCTTTTTTTAAATGGTTATAAACCATGTGACCGCCGAACATAGGCAACCAACATTACACGGTTGGTACTAGCAACCAAAAGCTTAGTGTTTTAGTAATTGTTAATTTTACCAAAATGTATTCGCCAATGCGAAGCAAATAAAAATGTTTGTTTGAAAGGAAAACTGCAAAGAATATCCTACAACCAATTTTGAACCTCTGGTTGTGAATTACCCGTAATTTTAATCTTATTTTTAGGTTTTTTACTGCTCTAGGTTTCAAAAAGATATCCTTTATTCTAACTAGGAGCCCAGAATAAACAACGAAACAACCGTCCGCTTCACCCTCGTGTATACGTGCATATTTCCAGCAGCTCTTAGTTACATATGCCCCGCATCATCAAATGCCGTAATCAAACATCAAACATTGTTAACCCGGCAGCGAAGCGGCGCCGGTTGCGGACTTACGATTAAAAAAAAAGTTCATTAAAACGCCGACTAGTAGCTACAGTCTGTTTGCCAAGTGAATTATTTCGCGATTAATTTGCGGTGGTCGGTCGACGTTTGCTTTGGTCGGGATTTATAGGGGGGCCGTTGGGCCGTGCAAAAAGGCGCCTGCATCTGCAGGCCGTAATTTTAATTAAATAAACAACCGGGTAAATACGCCGAGTCAGGCGTTAACGTGATATTTTTCAGGTCCGTGAAACGCCTGCAGTTTTTGCGGTCGTAGGTCGTACAGTGTATTATATCGCGGTGGTTATTTGAGAGGGTTTAGGGGAATTTTTAAAAGGAGGGCTCGACTGCGGATTTATACGAATAGCTGTTCGTGCGAGATCATAATAATTAATTCGTTGTGATAAACCGTTACATTTTTACTTCGCAAAGTAAAATAAAATCAACCTGATTTGTTAGCCATTACTACCATCGGAGAAGAAACACCAAAAATGCGACGCCCGAGAGCAGAGACATCGTATCGAAAATTGACCAGGATTCGAAACGTTCCCTTTACAAAGGCGATCAAACGTCGACTCTGACCACTTGCAGTTATACAGGGCGATTCAGTTATAATATCATTAATTTTTAACCACGTTTTCGGAAGGCTTAATAAAGACAGAAAATCGGGAAAAAATGTTTTGCTCGACTTTTAAAAATGAAGGAAATCAACCCATAACTCCCGCTAAGAGGGCGGCCCTGTCAGATGCCCGGATGCTCGGAAAATTTTGTAACGTAATGTCACGAACAAATCGTCAGCTGAAGCGAACAGCGTTGCCAAGTTCACATCATAATCAGTGCTTCACATTTACTTAATCCGCTTTAGTATACGGATACATATGTACGAAACCAATAAATGCAAATAAATAAAGGATCATGATGTATTTTATTATGAATAATTTTAACAATTGTATTAATTTAGTGCAAAATGTTTTAACAAGCCTGACTTCTCGAAGTCAACGTTCGTTAAAAGAAAATAAATAAATCAGAGGTTTGTAGGCGCACCGTATTTTATCAAATAAAAAAAATCGGCACACTAAGTACCCGAATATACAAAATACACTACACACGGTTACAAAACCATTACCTAACAATTTAAAGCGTTTATTCAAATCTACCACCCTCCATATCTCCCGCATTTTTAACAGTTAAGAGTTGACATCACACATTTTCAAAAAGTTGAAGCTTTAGAAGCAGCTGATTTCCTCAATCGTCTTGAATTTTGCAATTGGTTCCTAAATCGAAATACAGCAGAACCTAACTTTATTAACAAAGTGCTCTGGACGGATGAATACTATTTTACTCGTGCTGGCATTTTAAACTGGTAAAAAACATAAGTATTGCTTTCTCAAAAACAATAAGTACCTACCTTGGTTACACCAAAGTTTAGACTTACACTAAAGTTTACATTTATTATGTAAACTTTGGTTATACGCAACTGCATATTGAATAATAAATTGAAATACTAAAACTGTGTATTATTTAACATAATAAATTATAAAACGTGAAAACGTTAATATGTATTAAAAATGATAAATTGTAATAACGGTACATTCGAAAACAATCAGCCCTATTCATTACATTCAATTTTCCTTTGATAAAAGACCGACAACTTTTTGCTCTACTTTGCATGGAATACGATCCTACTATAGTTCGTATTAGTCTAGGAGCCAGATAGGGTTCCGTGTACTAGTTATAAAAATAAACTTTACAGCCATTTAAATATTTAATTTGTTGATAACAATTAAACTGGCCCCTTTCAGGCTTTGCGACCAAGTTTTTTGGATTCATGTGGTCAAAATACTTTAGAATAGGTTGTTTGCAGCCGTGGCACTCCGATTGGCAACGGAACCCTGTTTGGCTCCTAGACAATAGTGCACGTGCAAATTAGAAGGTTAGTAGCCTCGACACAGGTTAGCCTAGGTCGGAAACACGTACCGAGTTGTTTATTTGTCTCCGTCCGATTGTTTTTTTATCTTCTATTACTTACAGTCAATATTTAAATACTACATACATTTCACCCTCTCTTTATAATTTATCTAATGAGTGTTGGTTTTTTATGTCATTATTTCTGTAATGAAATTGAATGGTTATGAAATGAAATTTAAATTATTTGAACTCCTGGAGTTTTGTAACTTCATTATTAAATTTTATTTAAAGTGAAACAGAGCTAATTTCTTTGCAGCCATAATAGTCACATTTGATCAGATGAAAACCCGCGCACTACTCGTCGGTTTAGCTTTCAGAGGAGATTCGTTGTCAATGATTTTTGGCAAGGCATGCTCATACCTCGAGGTTCTTGCTGGGCAACAATAACAATTTAATATGTTGATTGCATAATTATAAAAAATTATTTATAGCATTTTAAATTATTATTGTAGACGTGAGCGAACCGTTTATTTATCGTCTTTATATGAGCGAAAATATATAAATATGGCAACATTGCATCTAGNTCATGAATATTATCCAAATCCAACTCGTCATAACCGTCAGGAAGGGGATCTTCTCTGTCTAATGCAATATTATGTAAAACTGCAGTA